TTTTTTTTGCACAGCAATGGTTCATACAATTGTTTAATTAATTTTTTTTTTTATTTTTATATAATTTTATATTCAATATTGGTCTTGTTTGATAGATTTGGAAGAGTAAGTTCTAAAAATATAAATTTTATAAAAAAAATGGATGTGTAATATAAAAATTATGACACTTTAAAATTTAAAAGATAAAATTATTGAAAAGTCCAATCTAATAATTATCTAAGGCATTAGGTTCAGTGAATATTTTTTTTTTTTTTTTGTGAGAGGTCCATCATTTGTGAAATAATTTGTTGAGAAATACTTTTGTTGGATTGGAAGACATTTTATTTTCAATTTTATCCCTTATCTATATGTTGAATTTTTTACTGTCTGATTAAATATTTTTTTATCTTTTTAATTTTTTGACTATCTGTTCAATTTTTTCCCTTATCTGTTCAAATATTTTTCCAAAGGACAATGGCTTAGACCCCCACAAGAAGAGCACCCCCACAACCCCTCTTTCTCTGATTGGCCAATTTTATTTTATTTTTTATTTCTTCTCCTCCAATCACTACCCCCCACGTGTGTGTGGGGTGGTGAGAGTGGTGATTGGAGGGGGTCTCAATCACTTCCATTTTCCAAATTTATTATCTGTTCAATTTTTTTGCTTATTTGTTTAAATTTATCTGTTCAAATTTTATTATCTGTTCAAATTTTTTTTCTAAATTTTATTTATCTGTTCAAATCTTTGTTATTGAATACATCCAACCACTATTTGCTCAAATTTTGAACAGATTTGTTACATTTATTCAACAACAACACTAAATTTTTATCCAAATATTTATCTGTTCAATTTTTTCCCTTATCTGCTCAAATCTATCTGTCCAAATTTTATTATTCGTTCAAATTTTTTTCCTAAATTTTATTTATCTATTCAAATCTTTGTTATTAAATACACCCAGACACTATGTGCTCAAATTTTGAACAGATTTGTTACATTTATTCAACAACACTAAATTTGTATCCAAACAGATGTATTCAACAAGATATCTAAATAGATATTAAAAAAAAGAAAAATGCCTGGTAGCTCGAAGCTACCAGGCTCGAAATGGCTCGAGAGGAAGAGAGGGAAAGGGAGAGGGAGAGAAAGAGAGGGAGAGGAGAAAGAGAAGGGAGGGAGAGGAAGAAGGTCGGCGTTGCAGCTCTCCGCCCCGCCGTCTTGAGCCTTACCCTTATCCTAACTGAGGCCCTCCCTTGTTCTAAGACTCTTGTCCCTTATTCAAATATTTCGGATTTCTGTATCTTTGCAGATAACTTCAGCCTTGTCGAGATTATCTCGACAACATGACCAAGCCATGTGACATTTCGGCTGACACTTCAACACCACTTTAACTACGTGCTATCATTCACAAAATACTTCCCTACAATAACAATGACATTATTAAAACAAACGATCGTGCTACGTAGCTCGAATAAAAAAACAAAAAAACAAAATCGACACCAAAACGACGTCGTTTTGGTGTCGAGCCGCGTCTCGAGCCGCGGCATTCGAGCTACGTAGCACGATCCAAACCTTTAATAATGTTACGTAGCATGATCGTAAAAAAAAAATTAAGAGAGAGGTCTGTTATAATCTGCTTCATCAACAACAACAACCGCAACCAACAACCATACCCAAAAAAAAGAAATGAAAAGAAAGGGGAGAGTGATCTATACAAAAAGGAACTGATCTGTACATGTTGCTATTGGATTGGGGAGTGCGGCGATGACGAACCCCTTGGAGTCGCCGCCAAAAAATCTCTCATTCCTTCATTCGAACATCTCTCTCTCTCATGATGGCTCTAACGGAAGTGTCAGATCCAAACATAGAGCCAGTTCAGCTAAGTTGATGACGACACAGATGTGAATGACCAGTGGAGCATGGTGAACTCGGAGACTAGGCTTCGAACACACACACACACACAGGGGGGGTTTGATGGTAGAACCAATAAGCGTGGTTTTAAATATATGGGTAATTTAATCATTGTGCAGAAATATGTCCTTATGATATAATAATTTCACGCATGAACCTTTGGACAAAAAGAAATTTGAATTTAAACTGTTAACCTGAATGTCCAATTTAAAATAATAAAAAAAAAAGAAGATAGTTTTTCCATATCATCAAGATTTTACATGAACACATGTGAGGCTCTTTTCCCCTTTAATTAGGGGTGATCGCATATTTGGTTGGGTCGGGTGGCATACCATCTACCATCCGTCCAATATTAGACAAATTGGAAAAAATTAATTTGTATTTGTCTATCGATTTGGCGGATGCGAATTAAACGGGCCGTGTGGATTGACGGATGAATGCTATCGGTTTAACGATTTGAACTTTACAAAATTTGAACATTTTTTCGAATTATAATTTATTACAATCTCCAATAACTAGTAATTTGAAAAAAATATATATATATATATTATTTGTCTATAATAGGCCATGGTACCACGCATCCATATTTTTAAGGTATTGTTTTCTATTTTCACAAAATATATATATTATTATTTCTACTTTATGTTGTTATTTGTTAGCAATTCATTTTTTATTTTTATTTTGAACTTCATCTATAGGTGAATTGAGTTCATGTGGGTGTGAGAAGGTTGATCTGCCATCTAAATCGTATCAGCGGATTTTGAAATATTTCATCCGCATCTGTCAGCCCAAAGACATGTATCAGCCCAAAATCAATCAGATTGGATCGAATCGGTCGAGTTGAACGGGTTGGACGGATTCATGATCACTCCTACTTTTAATTGAGAGCAAAATTGTATAAAAATAAAAATATTTAAAAAAAGAAGGACAAATCACACTAACAGTTCCTATAGTTTGGGACTCGTGTTACTTTAATCCTTGACTTTTCAATTGTGACATATTTGACCCTGCATTTTGAATCTTGTTCCAAATAAGGACAATTGAAAATACCAGTGCTTAATTTCATGAGAAAAATCGTCAATTTGATAAAATATAAACTAATCTGACAAAAATAAATGTCAAAAAAATATTTTTAAATTTTAAAAAATTATTTCTACACACCAAAGATAAAATTATGTAAAATTTATAAATTTTTTTGGACATTTATTTATTTATTTTTACCAAATTAATTTTTATTATGCGTTTAGATGATAATCATGTAATGTGTGGTTGTTAAGATTTTAATGTGTAATCAATATATTTAATATATAAATTTTTTTTAGTTTTGGATTTTTTTAATTTAATAGAGTGATTTAATAACGATATCAAAACTGTTGGCACATTTGACTTTTGAAAAAATAGAAACTAATTTAATGAAAATAAAAACAACCACCCATTACATGATCATCATCCAAATACATAATAAAAATTAAATTGGTAAAAAATAAATAAATAAATATCTAAAACATTTATCAATTTTACATAATTTTATCTTTAGTGGGTAGAAATAATTTTTAAAAATTCAAAAATATTTTTTTCACATTTATTTTTGTCAAATTAGTTTATATTTTATCAAATTGACGATTTTCTCTTTGAAATTAAGCAATGATATTTTCAATTATCCTTATTTGGAACAAGATTCAAAATTTAGGATTAAATATGTTACAATTGAAAAGTCATGAACTAAAGTGATACAAGTCCCAAATTATAAGAGCTGTTAGTGTAATTCGCCAAAAAAAAATAAAATCTAAATATACTAATAATGTTACTGTACGGGGAGCAAATATTCCGTGGAGCCCGCACTCCTTTCGTCCAAGCTCCTTGTCTATCCGATCGACCTGCGAGCACAACGGCAGTGAACTACCCGGCGGTGTGTGGCCAGAAAACCCCTCCGACGGTTAAGTTAGCACACACACTCAGTGAGAGACAGAGGAAAAGAGAGATTTATCACAATGAGTGTTTCTCACCAAATAATGTTCCATTCTAAGCATGGGAGGCGCAGTCATGCTTATATACTTTTTGCGCTCAACTCTGCACCCATTAGTCTCCCGACATGTGGAGCTGTTCTCCCATCTGTCAGCACAAATCTAACGAACACCACCTAACCAAACCGTCAGACAACATTAGCGGGAACTCGGCAGCCTGGCGGCATTACCTCGACCTTCCACGACCGTGTTGCGTAACGTGCCAGAGTGCTCCACTCGCCGAGCCCCATAACGGCCGAGCTCGGTAGCATTCTGGCAGAGCCGAGCTCAAGATAGGTCGGTCGGTGAACAGAAGACATTTCCCGCCGAGCTGTGCGTGTGACCCATGGAACCCGGGTTGGCAGGCGGTCATCTCGGCCAAGTAAGCTCGGTCCAAACATGGGACTTGGACCTCGGGCCTGGGCCTCGACCGAGCAAGATCAACTCCAGGAAAACCCCAGTTAGCTCGGCCTAAACAGGAGGCCTGAGCCACGACCGAGTGAAACCCACTCGGAACATGTCCAAATTAGCTCGGCCCAAACGTGTTCGGCCCTATCCAGTCCGACTTCCTCCACGGCCCAAAGCCAAATTATAAATCTCCCTCTCAATTACCAAAAATACAACAAGTCAAATGGGAAAATTTCTTAAAATAAAAAAAAACTTTCCATGAGACTTCCTCTACCACAACCTCACCAAATAGGAATTGTTCCTTAAATTTCTCTGTTAAGGTATTTCATATTAAATTTTAATCAAAAATTTGAGAGCAAAAGAATAGGTTAAATAAATGTCGTACTTAGAAGCCGACTAAGACTTCCGCAACAACAGGTTGTTCAAGAAGAATGAACTACAGGAAAAGGTGATAACATCACTTTTTTTTTTTTTTTTTTCCTTCAGATTTTTTCTTTAAATCGTCGAGGAGAGACGTAGATTTACCTGTACATCTCTTGAAGTAAGTTTTCTCTCTCTCTCTCTCTCGCTTTAAATTTTATTTTTATTTTTTCAGATTTTTGGGTTTTGATTGTCTGTAATTGTATTGTTTGGTTCTTTTAAAAAAAAAAAAAAAAAAAAAAAAAAAAAAAAAAAAAAAAACTCAAAAAGCACATCAATCTTTTCCTGGTATCTAGAGATGGGTTACCAGAAGAAGAACAGGCGTGAGGCCCCAGCAGCAGCAGCGGCAGCAAAAAATGAATTGGGAGAAGAAGAAGAAGAATTTTGGGCACTTTCAGACAAACCAAATTTCAGCATGCTGCTTACCAAAACCCATGTCAGGCCCTTGTGCAGATTGGTAATACTATCTTTACTCTCCTACTATCTTCTTCCTGCTCTATGATTTCAATCACATGGATGGAGGACTCCTACCCTACCTATCTGCTTCAATGCTCTACATATTAGTTACTCTTTGCGCTATTTAATTAACAAGATTAATAGTTAAGAGATTTATAATAGAGCAAATTATATTTTATCTCCTAAACTATCATCTCATATTATTTTGTCTTTGAACTAAAATTGTAACACTCAAACCTTCATTATTTATTCAAAAATAAAAAATAAAAAATAAAAAATAAAAAACCTTCTTTATTTATTAGTTCTTTTTAATTTAGACTTTAATAACGAAAATGCTTTTTAACCAAAGGGGTAACTTACACTTTACCCCTTTAAACTATCACTCAATTCACTTTACCCTTCCACTAAAAAAAATATTTGATTTTTTTAAAAAATACAATTTTTAAAGTTTTAATTTAAAATATAATTTTAAAAAAAGTTTCTTTTTTTTAAAATATTTTTTCATTTTTTAGTAATTTGTTTCATATTTTAGTCAAAAAATTTAAATTTTAGATGCACCTAAAATTTGAATATTTGTGATTTTTTTATAAAAAAAAATACTAAAGACAAAAAATAAATAAATAAATAAAATAAATAAATGAATAAAATAAATGAAAATTTACTCATAAATCTCATCTTAAGGAATAGTGATCCGTTTAGTCAAAAAGATTTTTTTATAGATCAATTAGTCCCATTGATTTTGGAAATATGAATTTAATATATTCTTTATAAATTGGATTTATGGTTATATCATTATTTACATTGTGTTTCCTTTTTTTTCTTTTGTGCTAGAAAGGATTAATACACAACATATTGGAGTCAAATTTGAGGTGGATTTTGATATGAGAATCTTTTTTATTTGGAATGGCTTAAAATGTGAAATTTTTCAAACATTCCAAAAGGGTATAAAAATGGCTTGAAATGTGGGATTCTCCAAAAATCTCTTAGTAGGCTTTGGATAAATGTGTAATTTCAAACTGTGGGGTTTTGATTTGGAATAGAGATGGTCACGGGGCAGGTTTTTCATCCCTCGCCCATGCCCCGCCCCGCTCTGCCCCCGCTATGGGTGGAATTTTTCAACCCCATCCCTGCCCTAGTGGATGCTCGACACCCGCGAATACTTGAATGCATTTCAAATAGCCAAAAAAAAAACTAAGAACCATTTAATCTTCAACACACTAAATAATTTCTCTTGTTTCTATATATATAAACGGTGAGACTTTCAGGAGTATTATTTATTTATATTTAAACAGAATCACAAGACTTGTAAATTCATTTCTTATGTCTAATTATATTATATATACAGATATATTATTAATTATATCGGGTCGGGATTGGGGGAGGTGATACATGCCCCCGCCCCATCCCTGTTACGGGTAACCAAAATATAATCCATCCCCGCCCTACATAAGTGTTGGGTTGGGTAAAATCTACTCCATTCGAGCAAGTATAAAATCCACCCCATTCGAGCAGGTATTGGCGGACCCCTGCTAATCGGACTAAAATGGCCATCCCTAATTTGAAATGGCTTGAAATGTGAGATTCTTCAAACATTTCAAAAAGAGTACAAAAATCTCTTAGTAAATTTTGGACAAATGTGTAATTTCAAACTGTGGGTTTTTATTTGGAATGGCTTGAAATGTGGATTTTTTCAAACATTTCAAAAGGAGTACAAAAACTCTTTAATAAGTTTTGAACAAATGTGTAATTTTAAACTGTAGGGATTTCGGTCATTTATAGGTATTAACTAACATCCACAATTGTAAACTGTAGGGTTATACTATCATTTTCACACAAATAGGACTATTAGGTTCATTAGATTATTTAGATGACATATTGGTTAGATATGGAAATGAGATTTATTTGTGCTTTTCCCAAAAATAAAAGAGCATAAAACAAAAATTGGTATATTTTTATATTTCTTATCTTTAGTGAACATTCTTTTAATAATTTTTCATAAATATTTTTGTTATTTGATTTTTAGTTTTTTTTTTTTCCCCTAGCAAACTAAAAATTAATTTAGTGATAAAATGAAAAGAAAAAGAAAAAGAGAGTCCAAATTAAAAGTGATATTAGGTGATAGTTTAAGGGGTAAAGTAATATGAGCTGATAGTTCAATGAGGTAGAGTGTAATTTATCCAATTTATGAAAGGGTATTTTAGTCATAGATGTTCAAATTGAAAAAAAAAAAATAGTAGTTAAAGGGGGGTTCATTGTTACAATTTTCAGTTGAGGGTAGTGATACGAGATAATAGTTAAAGGGGGTAAAGTGTAATTTACCCTTAGTAGTATTGTGAGATTAATATAGGAATATTGGTTATCAAATTAGATTAGTGCAAAACATAATTCCTTTTTATTCATGTGTGTTTTACGACAAATATAAAAATATTTAATTCTAATTATATATATGTTTTGCATTATTAGTTGTACGATTAAAAAATTTGCTAATTATATTGGATAAAATGACTATTAGAATCTAATCCGAATAATAAGATTTGTAACCAAACGATAAAATGTTAGTCCTATAAATTAATAATGTCAATCATATGCTATAACTCACCCGAAAAAACAAACCCTTTCATTTTGTGTTGTTTTGTACTCTGACATTTTAATTATATCAATTCCATCTCCAAATTACTAAATTTGTCAAAGTATTTTTATGATTGATGCCATTAATGTTTATCATCATAATATTTTGTAACAAAATAATACATATGAGGAAGAAAAAAAAAATCTTTACAAATTGACCCAATTACTAAACTATTCAAATTCAAAATCACACAAAATTAATCATTTTTTAGGTATAATTTTTATTTTAAAAATATCTCTGATGATAAATATTGACGTTTATTACTTTGAGATAAAATTGATACAAAATAGTTATTAAAGATCAAAATAACATCAAGTGCATACTTTAAAAACCTGAAGTGTAATAAACCAATCATTTCATTATCACAAGACTCCATTAATTAACGCTACCTGTATGATCTGGTGCATGACATGGCTAATGATTAATGTGATGCTCAAACTTTTATACATTAATGTTCTCTTTTGGGATGAGAAGTAAAATCAAATAGGTGAGACACTCATAATTTAAATTTTCAAATTAACTCATAGCATGAATAAATTTGTGATAAATAAAAAATTTGATATGTAACATGTCATATCATTTTAGGTAAAATTAAAAATACTTTTTTAAGAATAAAAACATTTTAAGTCAAATATAATTTAGAAGTGCTATTTGAAGAGGTCGGTCAATGACCCTTTTTGTCGAGAATATGTATATATATATTTTGAGTCAATTGATATGAGAGTAATTGCAAATATAAAAAGTATTTTATCAAATTAACCAGCTAGCTCAATAATTGCTGGAAAGCCAACAAATCACCAGTAAGAAAGTAATTACAAATGAGTAATGCTAGGGATATCAAATTTTCTATCAAACAAATGACCAAATGTCTCGTGCGATCTGTAATAAATTTGGGATATATAACATTTTCCATTACAAATATGATAAGTATTACATCAAAATTGACCACTAGTCCACGAATAGCTAGAAATGCAATAATCACTAAACAACTACCACAAGGCCAAACTCCGGGAAGAAATAAACAACTACTAAATACATACGACCCCATAATGGAGGAGAAAAACAACCATCACTAGCTCAAACTTGAAAAAATAAATAAATAAACAACTACTACTACATACAATCCTCATAGGGAGAGGGGGAAAAAAAAAAACAAAACAAAAAATGTATCAGACTCCTCTCATGAGTTAAACCCACAACCTCACTACAAAATGGTGCTACACTGCCTGAGTTTTTATTAGTATTCAGTTTTTTCTGGTTGAAAACTAAACAAGCACTTTTTAATTAGAAAGACTCTATCTTTAGAGACGGCATGAATTAAGTTGAGGACTGCCCTTACATTAGAAAAACACTAGGGTGTCACTCAACGGTATGTATGTTACACAAGGCTTAACTAATTATGCTAATTTATTTATAAAAAAAAAAGGAAGGAAAAAAGAAAAAAGAAAAAGAAAAATAATCATTTTGATCTTGCTCTTTGTCAGTTCGTTCCAACAAATATGCACCGAGTCCTGCCTTCCATTGCTGTCCCTGTGATTCTAACATACCGCGGCAACAACTGGGAGATGATCTACTTCGGAGATCATATCTCAAAAAGATTCGACACCAGATGGGCCAGGTTTGTGAAAGATAATAATCTGAGGATTGGAGATGCATGTGTATTTGAAGTCACGGAGTGCAGCAACACATTAGTTAGGTTTCGAGTTCAAATTCTTAGAGGTGACTTCCCACCCGAATTGCTGGCGAGAGTCCACAATGGTCAGACTTCAGATGCTGCTATTGTCATTGAGTGAGTCGGATTATAGGATCACCCATATGTTTTGTTCTGTTCTGTTTTGCAGATTTATGGGTTAATTTTTAGTTGAACATTTTAGGATGGAACTTGATATCATATAAGTCTAGATGTTATGTTTTTTTTAAAAATATTATTAAGGGAGATTTGAAATATAACCATGAATTTTCATATTTTTGTTATTCAACTTTCTAATGGAAGTATGACTACTGTAACAGTATGGACAACTATGCTTACATGACCCTCTTTAAGTCATTTTAATTCAAATGTTGCTTGTCCATCATGGGTGAAGGGAGGGGCGCCAAGGGTGTCATTGCGCGCCTCAAAAAGTTTGAAAACCTTGTTTATGGCCCGTTTGGTAGAGTTGTGAAAAAATGATTATAACTTATAACCTAATAGCTTATAGCTTATAGCTGTGAATATAACCTAATTTTTGACTTATAAATTAAGCTTCTCCTCCCCCACTCAAAGAATAAATTGATTTTTGACTTATAAAAAGCTATAAGCTGTATTGTTAAGCTGAACCAAACACATCAAAATAACTTAAATTGAGCTAAAAGCTGAAATAAGCTGAAAATAAACCCTACCAAACAGGGCCTATATCTATCTAAATGTCACATAATTTGTTTTTAAATGCTCCAAAACATGATAATTGCTATAAAGGAATTCAATACTCTTCAACTACTTCAAATAACTGCATAGTTATCAGATCCAATTACAAAATGTACATATGTAATATGTGTACCTCGAGTATGGACTATATGGAGCATGTTTCAATTGGCATATTATTTCTTAAAAGTGGGAGCGCAAGGTGGTGGTTGAATCCTGGTCAAGTTATAAGTTAGCATTGTACCTGTAAAACTATCACAAGATGAAGATTATCATTATTGATGTCGAGATTGTATTGGAAAAGACTTTTGAAGCAATCGTATCCTAACAAAATTATATCATTACTAAGCAAGTAATCTTCTATTATAAATAAACGTGTCTATGAATGTAATTTGTAATTTTAGATTATAGCAAATTGATTACGAAATAGATTAGGAATATTATGTCCACAAATATTGTGCTGACTTAAGCATCAGAATATCCATTCGTCATAAGCGTATAGGCTGTTTTGCAGATCTATGAAGCGTTGTCTATCTCTTTGTTGATTTCATCATCATCAAGTAGGGTACATTTTTTTCCCCTTTCACTTAATATGTGGTGTAAGCGTAACCCAATTCTGACTATGTCCATCTTGTTACGGTTGATAGTTACCAACTGAATCACAGTGACAAATATTCAATAAAGTAATGATCAAATTGGAAGAATCTAAAGCTTAAAGCTGAAATACAAACTGAGTGATGGTTTTAAGCTGAAGTTTAATTTACACAAAATAAAAAGAAAGGGAGAAAAACTAAGAGAGTGAATGTCACAACCCAGATTTATAATATCCGAACCCCTGAGAAAAAGGGGATAGATGGTCAAGACCTAGAGAAACAAGACAAGGCAATTTGGTCTATTTAAGAACTCAAATAGAGATTTCAATATAAGAACAAGGCTAAAAGAGTGGATAGATTCGCAATCTGATACATTCGATTCAAAACATGAGTTTACAAAAGAACACAAGCAACCTATATTCACATATCTAGATGACATGAATATATTACATGTGAGTACATTCATCAACATAACCTACACAAAGAAGTATCTTGCCTCGTGGCTTATATAACTTAAAACAGGGCATCTCCTCTATCAAATTTGCTCTCAGCCTTACAAAATTGTGAGACCCAGAAAATCCTCTTACATGGATTGTTGAAAAGATCTAACGAAGTGATGAGCTTGGCTCCAATAGATCTGCAAGGATGAACATAGTCGGTTCCACCCAACCGAGGTTGCCGGCTGGAGATACTCCGATGATAAAGTTAGTCACTCAATCCAGATAAAGAAGATGAAGGAAAGAAAGAGTATTTTACTGGTAGAGAGAGATCCCCCTACACTCCATGAGGTGCCTTTCTTTATAGATGGTGAGTGGGCCAAATGAGCCCAACAGTTGGCCCCTTAGCAGGCTTTATTTGGGTTAGCCCAATAGGCTAATATATATATTTTTTTCTAACTCCCACAAAAACATATTTAGGCTCATGCCCATTACGTTAACCTGAAAAATATGGTGAACCGAAGTCCGGTGTACTTTTATTTTTTTTACTTAAGAAATATAACTCGTTATGATACATGATTATGATGCATTGTGATACTATCATACAAATATAAGTATCTTTTCACAAGTTGAAAACATAAAGAATCTCTTCAAGTTCAAATACACATATTACAGTAAGGATGGCTTAGAAATCCCAATTTTACCGAAATTACGAGTGATGAATCACCAGGTTAGTATTTGCTAGTGGGATATAAGAGAGCCAAATAAACACCCCCGCTTTACCAGTTATCAGATGGAAGGAAATTGCTACTTACGCCTGCGCGAGTTTTTGATCTTTCTCCATGAACACTCTTGTAAAATTAATTCACCAATTAACTGGACTCATCAACTAAGGCTCAATTACCTAAATTTTCTCCAACCATAAATCAATTTAATTTTCTCTACTTTGTGAAATTCTACAATAATGCAATCCTTCATCGATTGGCCACAATTACACAATTCTCTACCATTTTCCAAGTCATGCTACAATGGAAATAATTTACAATTTTATTGCAATCATAGAGAATTTCTCAAGTTTCATAGTTTTCCACAATTTTCCAATTGATGATGTAAGGGGATAATAACACATCAATTTCCATATGTGACAAGTGTATTCTTCAAAATTTCAAGCCCAAGAAGGCTTCACAAATCAGGGTTTTTAACAATTTAGGGCAGTTCAAATTATTGCAAATAATAAACACAACTTGATAAAATACATTTTTATATAAGAAGATACATTAGTCTCCAACATTTGGACAAACCCTAACTTCTCATGCAATGTACGCAAAATTTCTAGAATTTTTCCCAAGAAATATACACACATCTACAATCCAACTCATATTTAAACATAAATAAGAAAATTCGTACCTTAACGAAGGAGAAAAAAGTCCTAGAATTCCAAATGGGTTCATATGATGTATCTTCCGTTTGATTAATGATGATAGTTCTACCGTTTAAAACAAAAACAAAAACAAAAACAAAAAAAGGCGATCGATTGGTCACCAATGAGATCGATCCCCCAACGATCGCTAGCTACTGAATTTTTTAAAAATTCAAAGCAATCGAATTGTGATCGATCCCTAGCTACTGCTCAAACTACTCAATTTATCCTTGTGAAGCGATTGATCGTTCAAGGGAGTGCGGTCGATCGCATTCTCAGAATGTGCAGACTTTTCTCAAGTTGTTCAATGTATGTAACCCAAAAATCTCAATAACTCTACAATCCAAACAATTAGAGTAAAGTTCTAGATGGTAGAACCAAAAACTATAAGAATTATATTATATGTGTCGATTGATATATTGATTAGTTTATTAATTGATAATGTTACATAATTTAAGAATTTTTTAAAATTTATAATGTAATTAATGACTGAGATCAATAATAATGTTATAAGCAGTGTTGATACATTAGTTAGTATACTAATTGGTACGTGTAGTACCACCGTAAACTAAAAGAAGGTGATGCAATCAAGAAATAAGGATTGGATTGGATCCAAACTGTCACAATAAATTACAAGAGGCTCTATTTACACATCATTTTTCTTCTCAAGGTACACTATTAATTAATTTAGGGTGATTCTACTCACACCACTCTTTTACCTCCTTACACACTTCATCTCATTACACTACTTAAAAAAATTAAATTCTCATTACACCTAATATATTACCAAAACAAACCATATGATAAAAAAACTCTTCAAAACCCATCTCTTTACACCCATACTTTGTGCTGGGCCTGTTCGGTAATACAATGCTAAACAATTTGAATTACTCTAGTTCTATGTTACCGGATAAAATTTTGTTTCCCAGAATTATGTTACCATTCAATTGGATAATTTCAATTCGCTTCCCAACAAAACCAGTAGAGTCCACATTGAAGTGCTTGTTTGGTCACACAATGCGAAACAATTTACAAAAATTCAGTGCTATAACGCTGGAATAAATTGTTTGTTCTAACCTTTTGTTACTATGCATTTACAGAGCCACTTCCTTCCAAATAATGTAGTAATAATTTGTGCTGGGCCTGTTCGATAATAAAATGCTAGTGAATTTTAATTACTCCAATGTTGTGTTGTTGGAAAAAATAGATTTGTCTAGCATTCTGTTGCTATACATTTATAGAGCCACTTTGTTCCAAATGATAATTTGGGCTTGTTTGGTAATTTGATACCAGACTTATATTTTTTGTTCGGTAATTTGATATCAGACTTATATTTTTTGTTCGGTAATTTACCGGAAATGTATCTTTTATTCGGCAATTTGACACCAGATTTATATTTTTTATTCGGCACTGTGATGCCGAACTATGTTATTTTGTTCGATTTCAAAACACCGAACAAAAGTCGCAGACCAACCCAGAAAATCGAAACAAAAACCTACTAAACTAATAAAAAAACTCACAATTTCACTTTTTTGATGGTTTTTCACCACTGTTTCTTCATCCATTGCTTTTTTTGATGATCAAAACATTATGATTATCACTTTTTCAAGAGAGATGTGTGAGAGAAAAGAAAAGTTGAGAAAGGAAAAAAAGGAATTGAAGATCAAGGGGTGTAAGGAGATAATCAAATATATTTAATTTTAGTGTTTTGTCCTTTTAAGTAATTTCACGCATGGATAAATTTGGAAGAAAAAAACAATCTCATATGGAGGGTGTAAGAAGGTAAAAGAGTGGTGTAAGTAGAATCACAAATTAATTTATTTTTTATTACAATTTTAACCTTAGGTGAAATGACTACAAAGGACAAACTATAATACATACTATTTGTATAATTACCATAAAGGACCGGACAAACTACTCTTGTTCGAAAGAAATGGACCGGACAAACTACTCTTGTTCGACAGAAATAAACCGAACAAACTACTCTTGTTTGAAAGTCAAGAGTCGAACTCCATATTGTTCGACAGAAATTGACCAAACATATGCTTGGGGTTCGAAATTCCAGTGTCGAACGGTTCAAAAACTCAATCATGCGAATACAAATTTCATGACAATGGAAAAAA